TTCGGCATCCTTGCCATCGAGGTGAAGCGCAGGGCGCGCACTGCGCACACTGTTTGTGAGATGGTGCTGGCCAGGTGGGTGGTGACCGAGAACAAAACCGCGGGCCGACTTTCTTCAGCCACGCCCCAATTCCAGCCCAAGTCTTTGTGGAAGAACGGCCCTTGCGACGCCGTACGATCTACAGTAGTCAAACACTGTACTTTTTATGTTGGGAAGATACAATCGGGGATAGCCAATTCAGCATACACAATGCATAGGTGGGGCAAGCCGGCTCACCTGACCTTCCTTTTCTTCGCTTTGCTGGCCAACATCATCGTGACGTCCATGCTGCTGCTGGGAGGGGCAGCCACTGTGAACGCACTTACCGGCGTGAACACGGACTTGGCTTCCTTCTTGATCCCATGGGGAGTGATCCTCTACACGGCGGCCGGTGGCTTGAAAGCCACATTCATGGCTTCCTACCTGCACACCGCCATCATTTTCCTGGTTCTGGTGGTCTGCGTGTACACCGTCTACGTGAAGGAGTTCTCCTCGGACCTCATTTACACAGGACTGCAGACGGTGTCCGGCTACACCACGGCGCAGTGTGAGGCGCTCTACAGCGCGAATGGCACCACCTTCTTTGAGGCGGGCAAGTATTCGTGCGGGCCTGTGCCCGAGAATGAGGGCGGGTCCTACCTCACCATGCTGTCCGGCGGCGGCCTGAAGTTCGGCATTATCAACATCGTGGGCAACTTTGGCACAGTCTTTGTGGACCAGTCCTACTGGCAGTCTGCCATTGCCGCCAAGCCCACTAGCGCGCACAAGGGCTACCTGCTGGGCGGCCTCGTTTGGTTCACCATCCCGTTTGCCCTGGCGACGTCTTTGGGACTCTCCGCAGTCGCGTTGCAGCTGCCCATCAGCTCTGCGGAGGCGGGCTCGGGCCTGGTGCCGCCGGCCGTGGCCACGCACCTCTTCGGCAGCTTCGGGTCCGTGATGATGGCGGTGATGCTGTTCATGGCCATCACCTCCACGGGCTCGGCGGAGGGCATCGCGGTGTCGTCCCTGGTGACCTACGACATCTACAAGACCTACATCAACCCCCAGTGCACGGGCAAGCAGGCCCTGACCATCTCCAAGGTGGTGGTGGTGATCTTCGGTTTGGCGATGGGTGCTCTGGGTGTGGCTCTGAACTACATGGGCCTGAACCTGGGCTGGGTTTACCAGTTCATGGGCAACGCCATCGGCTCGGCGGTGGTCCCCCTGTGGAACTTGCTGATGTGGAAGGATGCCAACGCCATTGGGGCCGTGGTGGCGGCCTGGGGCGGCATGGTCTTGGCGCTTGCCACCTGGCTGATTGTGTGTGCGGCAGAGTTCGGAGAGATCACCGTGGACAACCTGGGCACTCTGAACCCGAACCTGGCGGGCAACATCGTGGCGCTGGCCTCGTCCGCGCTGATCCACGCTGGCTTCTCGCTGATGTGGCCGCAGAACTACGACTTCGAGTCCATGGGCAAGATCGAAATGCTGGAGGCGGACATGAGCGGCCTGGACGAGAAGGACTACACGGACCAGTTCCTGGATGAGGCGAAGCGCTGGATCACCAAGTGGGGCTGGGGCTTCACCGTCTTGATGGTGGTGATTTGGCCGCTCTTGTCTCTGCCGGCGGGTGTCTTCTCCAAGGATTACTTTGCCTTCTGGGTCTTCATCAGCATCGCCTGGAGTTTCGTGGCCACGTTCGTGATCATCGTGCTGCCAATTCAGGAGTCCATGGAAGCTATCACCGGGGTGTGCTACTTCATCGTGGGCAAGAAGGCCCCGGCAAAGGCGCCAGCTGCGCCGGCGGAGCCGGAAGCCAAGGCGGACGAACAGGCCATCTAGCCTCAGATTGTTTCCGTGAAGTTATACTATTTTTGGCCCCAAGGGCACTTCCTGCAAAGACTCCGGCCGCCTGGCTGATGCAACACATCGGCAGCGGGAGATCTACTTTTCATATTTATCTTAGTGCGGCTCCGAGCACACGAAGTGGAGCTTCGGGCGTGTGAGCCACAACTGAGCCTTGACCTTGTATCTGATTTGGCCAATGTCGACCTGGAGAGCTACTGCACATTGCTCAGCAAATGCTGAGCAGCAGTTTCCTTTTCCAGTACTTTCTTTGTTCCACGCAAAGGCACCTTGGCACTTCGAGAAACCTGCAGCAACGCAAGAAAAGTTGGGTACTGCGCATGCCCTGATCCCGCCCAAGCTGGCGTTTGGTGCTGCGTTCGTGTTGTGGGTTGTGGAGTCGTGTGTTTCCGGCTTTGTTCTTTGGGGTAGCAATCTTGGTGCTCATGCACGCAGGAAGGCTTGCGAATCAGGATTAGCCTTGTTGACGGAAGCTGGGCTTCAGCAGAGTCGTTGAGAGGCGGAAAGTCGAGTCGTGTCCGTGAAGCATTTGCGGATCACAGTTTGGGGCAGAGATCAGTTCGATCGTTGACAAGCCATGGCGACCATGGCCCCGGAGTACGTGGGCAAGACCAGCTTCTTCGGAAGCAACACACCGCTGCCCCTGGAATCAGGGTACGCCATCGTGCTGGGATTCGGTGCCTTCTTCTCCGTTCTGACCACAGTCCTGGTGTACTTGGACAAGTATGCCAACAACACGGAGCACACGTCGGAGTTCTTCAACACGGCTGGCCGGTCTGTGAAGACCGGACTCACCGCATCGGTGATTGTGTCGCAGTGGACTTGGGCGGCCACGTTGCTCCAGTCCTCCAACGTTGCGTGGAACTACGGCGTGGATGTCGGGAGACCTTCTGGTACGCCAGCGCGACACATCCAGGCGGGGTATTTTCTGAGGGGGGTGGGTGCCCTTTCCGAGGTTCAAGAGGGAGACCGATAAGGGCAAAACGCGAAGCTTTGAAGATCGTATCTGACCAGGTGCTGCTGTTCGGCATCCTTGCCATCGAGGTGAAGCGCAGGGCGCGCACTGCGCACACTGTTTGTGAGATGGTGCTGGCCAGGTGGGTGGTGACCGAGAACAAAACCGCGGGCCGACTTTCTTCAGCCACGCCCCAATTCCAGCCCAAGTCTTTGTGGAAGAACGGCCCTTGCGACGCCGTACGATCTACAGTAGTCAAACACTGTACCTTTTATGTTGGGAAGATACAATGGGGGATAGCCAATTCAGCATACACAATGCACAGGTGGGGCAAGCCGGCTCACCTGACCTTCCTTTTCTTCGCTTTGCTGGCCAACATCATCGTGACGTCCATGCTGCTGCTGGGAGGGGCAGCCACTGTGAACGCACTTACCGGCGTGAACACGGACTTGGCTTCCTTCTTGATCCCATGGGGAGTGATCCTCTACACGGCGGCCGGTGGCTTGAAAGCCACATTCATGGCTTCCTACCTGCACACCGCCATCATTTTCCTGGTTCTGGTGGTCTGCGTGTACACCGTCTACGTGAAGGAGTTCTCCTCGGACCTCATTTACACAGGACTGCAGACGGTGTCCGGCTACACCACGGCGCAGTGTGAGGCGCTCTACAGCGCGAATGGCACCACCTTCTTTGAGGCGGGCAAGTATTCGTGCGGGCCTGTGCCCGAGAATGAGGGCGGGTCCTACCTCACCATGCTGTCCGGCGGCGGCCTGAAGTTCGGCATTATCAACATCGTGGGCAACTTTGGCACAGTCTTCGTGGACCAGTCCTACTGGCAGTCTGCCATTGCCGCCAAGCCCACTAGCGCGCACAAGGGCTACCTGCTGGGCGGCCTCGTTTGGTTCACCATCCCGTTTGCCCTGGCGACGTCTTTGGGACTCTCCGCAGTCGCGTTGCAGCTGCCCATCAGCTCTGCGGAGGCGGGCTCGGGCCTGGTGCCGCCGGCCGTGGCCACGCACCTCTTCGGCAGCTTCGGGTCCGTGATGATGGCGGTGATGCTGTTCATGGCCATCACCTCCACGGGCTCGGCGGAGGGCATCGCGGTGTCGTCCCTGGTGACCTACGACATCTACAAGACCTACATCAACCCCCAGTGCACGGGCAAGCAGGCCCTGACCATCTCCAAGGTGGTGGTGGTGATCTTCGGTTTGGCGATGGGTGCTCTGGGTGTGGCTCTGAACTACATGGGCCTGAACCTGGGCTGGGTTTACCAGTTCATGGGCAACGCGCTATCGGCTCGGTGGTGGTCCCCATGTTGGAACTTGCTGATGTGGAAGGATTGCCAACGCCATTGGGGCCGTTTGGGTGGTGGCGGACTGGGGTCGTGTTTCGGCGCATGTTCATTGGCGCTTGCCACTGGTTCGGATTGTGGTGTGCGCAGGTTCGGAGAGATTCACCGTGGACAACCTGGGCACTCTGAAACCCGAAAAAATAAAAACCCACCGCCCCCCTTGGCGTTGTGGCAACATCGTGGCGCTGGCCTCGTCCGCGCTGATCCACGCTGGCTTCTCGCTGATGTGGCCGCAGAACTACGACTTCGAGTCCATGGGCAAGATCGAAATGCTGGAGGCGGACATGAGCGGCCTGGACGAGAAGGACTACACGGACCAGTTCCTGGATGAGGCGAAGCGCTGGATCACCAAGTGGGGCTGGGGCTTCACCGTCTTGATGGTGGTGATTTGGCCGCTCTTGTCTCTGCCGGCGGGTGTCTTCTCCAAGGATTACTTTGCCTTCTGGGTCTTCATCAGCATCGCCTGGAGTTTCGTGGCCACGTTCGTGATCATCGTGCTGCCAATTCAGGAGTCCATGGAAGCTATCACCGGGGTGTGCTACTTCATCGTGGGCAAGAAGGCCCCGGCAAAGGCGCCAGCTGCACCGGCGGAGCCGGAAGCCAAGGCGGACGAACAGGCCATCTAGCCTCAGAATGTTTCCGTGAAGTTATAATGTTTTTGGCCCCAAGGGCACTTCCTGCAAAGACTCCGGCCGCCTGGCTGATGCAACACATCGGCAGCAGGAGATCTACTTTTCATACTATCTTTTTTGTCTTAGTGCGGCTCCGAGCACACGAAGTGGAGCTTCGGGCGTGTGAGTCGCAACTGAGCCTTGAACCTTGTAACTGATTTTGGCCATTGTCGAGCTGGAGAGCTACTGCGCTTTGCTCCGCAAATGTTGAGCAGCAGTTCCCTTTCCCAGTACTTTGTTCCACGCAAAGGCACCTTGGCACTTCGAGAACCCTGCAGCAACGCAAGAAAAGTTGGGCGCTGCACATGCCCTGATCCCGCCCAAGCTGGCGTTTGGTGCTGCGTTCGTGTTGTGGGTTGTGGAGTCGTGTGTTTCCGGCTTTGTTCTTTGGGGTAGCAATCTTGGTGCTCATGCACGTAGGAAAGCTTGCGCATCAGGATAAGCCTTGTTGACGGAAGCCGGGCTTCAGCAGAGTCGTTGAGAGGCGGAAAGTCGAGTCGTGTCTGCAAAGCATTTGCGGATCACAGTTTGGGGCAGAGATCAGTTCGAACTTTGAGAAGCCATGGCGACCATGGCCCCGGAGTACGTGGGCAAGACCAGCTTCTTCGGAAGCAACACACCGCTGCCCCTGGAATCAGGGTACGCCATCGTGCTGGGATTCGGTGCCTTCTTCTCGGTTCTGACCACAGTCCTGGTGTACTTGGACAAGTATGCCAACAACACAGAGCACACGTCGGAGTTCTTCAACACAGCTGGCCGGTCTGTGAAGACCGGACTCACCGCATCGGTGATTGTGTCGCAGTGGACTTGGGCGGCCACGTTGCTCCAGTCCTCCAACGTTGCGTGGAACTACGGCGTGTCGGGGCCCTTCTGGTACGCCAGCGGCGCCACCATCCAGGCGGGGTATTTTTGAGGGTACCCTTTCCGAGGTTCAAGAGGGAGACCGAAAGGGCAAGAAGCGAAGCTTTGAAGATCCATATCCTGACCAGGTGCTGCTGTTCGGCATCCTTGCCATCGAGGTGAAGCGCAGGGCGCGCACTGCGCACACTGTTTGTGAGATGGTGCTGGCCAGGTGAGTGGTGAAGAACAAAATTGCGGGCCGACTTTCTTCAGCCACGCCCCAATTCCAGTCCAAGTCTTTGTGGAAGAACGGCCCTTGCGACGCCGTACGATCTACAGTAGTGAAAAACTGTACCTTTTATGTTGGGAAGATACAATTGGGGGAAAGAGGCCAGTCCAAAACACATGCCAATTCAGCACACACAATGCACAGGTGGGGCAAGCCGGCTCACCTGACCTTCCTCTTCTTCGCTTTGCTGGCCAACATCATCGTGACGTCCATGCTGCTGCTGGGAGGGGCAGCCACTGTGAACGCACTTACCGGCGTGAACACGGACTTGGCTTCCTTCTTGATCCCATGGGGAGTGATCCTCTACACGGCGGCCGGTGGCTTGAAAGCCACGTTCATGGCTTCCTACCTGCACACCGCCATCATTTTCCTGGTTCTGGTGGTCTGCGTGTACACGTGTCGGCTACGGTGTGGGAGTGCTATCCTGGGATCCTCATTTAGACGATGGAATGCTGGATGAGCGCGAGTGTCCGGAGACTACAAAGCGCGGCTGTCAGGTGTGAATGGGCTGTCTGCATGTCGGTGGTCGTAGATGGGCTACCTACTGATCTTTGAGTGGATCGGTGAAGCTTAGTTGTTGTGCGGGCTCTTGCGTATGTGTCTCGTGATGAATGGAGGGACTGAAAATGGGGAAGCCACCTGCTGTCCTGGCAGTGTGCAAACAAATTGTTTTCGGCTATGGCATTGTTGGATGAAAATCGGTTGGTGCAACGGTGTGGTGTTCTGTTGTGTTCTGGTGTGTAGAGCCAGTTATCGTACTGGCGAGTGTCGTGGGTCAATTGCTGCCAGCTGCTAGCTAGCGCGCACTAGGGCTACCTGTGATTGGTGCGTGGCCTACTGTTGATTGGTGGTGGTGAGTGCTAGCTCAGTTTCTAGTGTTGTTGCATGACTGAGGCGACGTTACGTGTTGGAGGGTACGCTGGTGACGTCATAGTTGCGCGTTATGTGGGTATGTGTGGCAGAGCTTTTTTCAGTTGCAGCTTGTGCTGGTTGTCATGGGCTCAGGGCTCGGTATGTATGTATGGTGGCTGCGGTGTCCGGTGAGCCGGGGACCACGCTGACGCTGCTCTGGAGTGTCGGGGTCCGTGGATGTGATTGGGGCGGGTATGTGCTGTTCATGGCCATCACCTCCACGGGCTCGGCGGAGGGCATCGCGGTGTCGTCCCTGGTGACCTACGACATCTACAAGACCTACATCAACCCCCAGTGCACGGGCAAGCAGGCCCTGACCATCTCCAAGGTGGTGGTGGTGATCTTCGGTTTGGCGATGGGTGCTCTGGGTGTGGCTCTGAACTACATGGGCCTGAACCTGGGCTGGGTTTACCAGTTCATGGGCAACGCCATCGGCTCGGCGGTGGTCCCCCTGTGGAACTTGCTGATGTGGAAGGATGCCAACGCCATTGGGGCCGTGGTGGCGGCCTGGGGCGGCATGGTCTTGGCGCTTGCCACCTGGCTGATTGTGTGTGCGGCAGAGTTCGGAGAGATCACCGTGGACAACCTGGGCACTCTGAACCCGAACCTGGCGGGCAACATCGTGGCGCTGGCCTCGTCCGCGCTGATCCACGCTGGCTTCTCGCTGATGTGGCCGCAGAACTACGACTTCGAGTCCATGGGCAAGATCGAAATGCTGGAGGCGGACATGAGCGGCCTGGACGAGAAGGACTACACGGACCAGTTCCTGGATGAGGCGAAGCGCTGGATCACCAAGTGGGGCTGGGGCTTCACCGTCTTGATGGTGGTGATTTGGCCGCTCTTGTCTCTGCCGGCGGGTGTCTTCTCCAAGGATTACTTTGCCTTCTGGGTCTTCATCAGCATCGCCTGGAGTTTCGTGGCCACGTTCGTGATCATCGTGCTGCCAATTCAGGAGTCCATGGAAGCTATCACCGGGGTGTGCTACTTCATCGTGGGCAAGAAGGCCCCGGCAAAGGCGCCAGCACCGGCGGAGCCGGAAGCCAAGGCAGACGAACAGGTCCTCTAGCCTCAGAATGTTTCCGTGAAGTTATAATGTTTTTGGCCTCCGGGCACTTCTTCCTGCAAAGACTCCAGCCGCTTGGCTGATCTAACACATCGCTTCAGCGGGAGATCTACTTTGTATATTGTCATTTTTTCTTAGTGCGGCTCCGAGCACACGAAGTGGAGCTTCGGGCGTGTGAGCCGCAACTGAGCCTTGAACCCTGCAACTGATTTTGGCCATTGTCGAGCTGGAGAGCTACTGCGCTTTGCTCCGCAAATGTTGAGCAGCAGTGTCCTTTCCCATGCAGTACTTTGTTCCACGCAAAGGCACCTTGGCACTTCGAGAAACCTGCAGCAACGCAAGAAAAGTTGGGTACTGCACATGCCCTGATCCCGCAGGCATGTGGTGATGCGTTTGTGTGGTGGGTTGGGGCGTGTGTTTCCAGCTTTGTTCTTTTGGGTAGCAATCTTGGTGATCATGATTCAGATGGGAATAGACTAGTAATTAGCAACTAGGCGAACTACTGAATCAACAAGCTAACAGGTATTTGGATTGATATATTTTTTAGTAAGTAACTATAAAGAAATTAATTACCTAACTGAGAGTCGTCCGAAAGGTTTTTGTATTGAGCTATGAAGGGGAAGACCTTTTGGTCTTGGCGTTGACCTTCGCGAAAGTTCCGCGAAGGGGGTCGCGAAAGTTAATGTTTTATTCGCGAAAGTTTTGTGTAAGGGTGGCTTGTTAACAGGAAGCTGGAGTGATGAACCATGTGTATTTACCGGCAGTGCGGGCAGAATGCCCGTAGACTAAAATTGGCCGGGGAATACATAGCTTAAGGATCGTTGTAAGAATACGCTGTTGCAAAAGCAACCAGTAGAAACTGGCTTGTGGGAGTTTTGAAGCTTTCGGGTTAAGTTGAGTGTAATTTTTAGCCGGTTTTTCGCGAATGTTTGGCGTAAGGTTTGCGAAAATTTCGCGAAAGTCGATGGATTTCTCCGCTAGTTTCCGGATATGAAGTTAACGGGTTTTCTCGTGTGTAGGTAGCGATTGTGAGTGCTATTTTGGAATTGAAAGGTTGCGACTTTCGAGTTGGGATTGTGGAAGCTTATTTTGTGTATTATTTTTGTATTAGAAAGCTTTAATTTTCGAGGTTGTGGAAGTTTAATTTATGTATTTTTAAATCGGGTTGTGGACAATTATTTTGTGTTATTTTCATATTGAAAAATTAGGATTGCGAAAGTGTAATTCGTGTATTAATGAATGTTTTGAAAAAAGCCCGCGAAAGTTCCGCGATGGGGTTTACGATTTTGGTTTTTTCTTCGCGAAGATGACGGTTTTCGGAATAAGCAATTTTAGATAATTATTAACTAGAATATTGAAATGAACAAAAAATAATATATATATATATATATATATTTATTATTGGAAAATGTGTTTAAAAATAATAATTATAATAAAATAAATAATAATAATATTTAAACAAAATAATATTATTAATATTATATTATTTATTTATTTTTATGTATAATAGAATATTTTATAATTGAATTTATGTCGCGGAGAAAAATGGGATGAGTATGATAATTCGGTCGGAATCTTATTGTAATGATTTTGTGGTGGATGGGAAATATGATTTCGAGATTAATAGAATAATTTAATTTTATTATAATGTTTATATTTAGCAAACATTCTTTTTAGTATTCTCAAAGGAAGTTTAGAAGGAAACTTCCGAGTTACGGAAACTAATTGAAAGCTAGCTGGTGCAGGGAAGGAAAAAGAAAGAATAAAAGGCGCGCGAGAGAAACCATGCGTGCGCGTGTGGCGGGGGAATAGAATTTGCGAAAAGGAGCAACCCTCTGCGGGTTTGGTGGTGTGGAGCTGGCTGAAAGCTACCTCAGTCGCGGCGTCTGACGGACGATGGGTGCGGGACGGGCTCGGACGGTCTCGGGACGGGGGCGGCGCCAGGACACGGCAACGCAAAGGTTTCGCAAGGATTGAATTGCGTGGCAGGCGCAGCATTTTGGTAAGGTCGGGTGCAGATTTCGTGGCAGGCGCAGCACTTTCGCAAGGTCAACGTTTCTCAAGGTTTGAATTGCGTGGCAAGCGCAACACTTTCGAAAGCTCAGGTGAGGCGCAGCACTTTTGCAAGGTCAAGTACATATGTCGTGGCAGGTGCGGCACTTTCGCAAGGTCAAGTAAAGATTTCGTGGCAGGCGCAGCACTTTCGCAAGGTCAAGCACAGATTTCGTGGCAGGCGCAGCACTTTCACAAGGTCATGTACAGATTTCGTGGCAGGTGCCGCATTTTCGCAAGGTCAAGTACAAAATTCGTGGCAGGCGCATCACTTTCGCAAGGTCAAGTACAGAGTTCGTGGCAGGCGCAGCAGTCAAGTACAGATTGCGTGGCAGGCGCAGCACTTTTGCAAGGTCAACTTTCGCAGCCGGGGCTCAAAAATCGCAACTTTTAAGTGCGAAAGTAGTACGCGAAGTCAACTTTCGCAGCTGGGGCTTGCAAATCGCAACTTTTAAGTACGAAAGTAGTGCGCGAAGTCCACTTTCGCAGCCGGGCTTGAAAATCGCGACTTTTAAGTACGAAAGTAGTATGCGAAGTCCACTTTCGCAAAATCGCAACTTTTAAGAACGAAAGTAGTACGTGAAGTCCACTTTCGCAGCTGGGGCTTGAAAATCGCAACTTTTAAGTACGAAAGTAGTACGCGAAGTCAAGATAGAAAGAGATAGAGAAAGAGATAGATAGATAGATAGATAGAGAGAGAGAGAGAGAGAGAGCAAGATAGATAGATAAATAGACAGAGAGAGAGAGAGATAAAGAGATAGAGATAGATAGATAGATAGAGAGAGATAGATAGATAGAGAGAGAGATAGAGACAGAGAGAGAGATAGAAAGATATATAAATAGAAAGAAAAAGAGATAGATAGATAGATAGATAGACAGAGAGATAAATACATAGATAGATAAACGCTAAACAGACAGATAGATAGACAGATAGATAGATAGATAGAGAGAAAGATAAATAGATAGAAACAGAGATAGAGAGAGATACATAGATAGGTAGATAGATAGAGAAATAAATAGTTAGATAGATAGATAGATAGATAGGTAGAGAGCATGAGATAGAGAGGTAGATAGAGAGATGGATAGATAGGTAGATCTATAGAGAATTAGAAATATAGATATATAGATAGACAGAGAGATAGAGAGATAGATAGATAGATAGATAGAGAGATAGACAGATAGAGAGAGAGATAGATAGATAGGTAGACAGAGGGATACATAGAGAGATATAGAGATAGATAGATAAAGAGATAGACAGATAGAGAGACAGATAGATAGATAGAGAGAGAGATAGATAGATAGATAGATACGCGGGAGATAGATGGAGAGATAGATGGATAGATAGAAAGAGATAGAGAAAGAGATAGAGAGATAAATAGATAGAAAGAAAGAGAGATAGAGAAATAGAAAGAGAGAAAGAAAGAGAGATAGAGAGATAGATAGATAGACAGATAGAGAAAGAGAGAGACAGAGATAGAGGGATATAGAGAGATGGATGGATAGAGAGATAGAGATATAGGTAGATATATAGAGATAGATAGAGAAGATATATAGAGATAGATAGAGAAGATAGACAGATAGATAGATAGATAGATAGATAAGCAGATAGATACATAACACGAGAGATAGATAGATAGATAGATAGGTAGTTAGGTATAGATAGGTAGAGAAAGATAGATAGACAAGCAAACGAAAGAAAGAAAGAAAAGACAGATAGAAAGAAGGAAAGAAGGGAGGAAGAAAGGAAGAATGACGGAGAAAAAGAGTCAAGAAAAGAAAGAGAAAGAGAACTATAGTTTTTATATTTTTGAAACTTCCGCCCACCGGCTTCGCCGGCTCTACTGGTATTATATTTACTCTATAAAACGAAGCCGTGAAACTCGATCGTCGCACTTGTGCGCGTTTTCCCGGACAGCTTTTCCGAAAAACCCCCTCCGGATATTTCGGGAAATTGGTCCGGGCTGCCTCTGGAAGATGCAGCCGCTTCATATTTCTTACGGACCACTTACCCAAATCTGTCCGGGCTGCCCCGGCACATGTGCGGAAGACATAGTGGCTTCATTTGTTGTAGGGATCAATTTCCCGAAATATTTCAGATATTTCGGGAAAGCGGTCTGGGAATCGCAGCCACCCAAACCTATCCGGGCTATCCCGGCACATGTGCGGAAGACATAGTGGCTTCATTTTTTGTAGGGACCAATTTCCCGAAATATTTGAGATATTTCGGGAAAGCGGTCCGGGAATCGCAGCCACCCGCCATTTTCTCGAAATATTCCGAATATTTCGGGGACCGTTTTCCCGAAATATTCCAAATATTTCGGGAAATGCCATCGTCGAACTATCCGGAATATTTCGGAAAAATGGTTCGGAGTGCAATCGTCGAAATATCCGGGATATTTCGGAAAAAATGGTCCGGGCTTTGAACGAAGCTATTTCTGAAACCCTTAGTCGTATATTCAAACCCAACAGAACTTGCTGCGTTAGCTTGCTTGCAAGCACTGCGTCAATTTTCGGCCGCTTATCGTCAATACACAAGCAAGAACTGAGACATGCTGAACCCAATTTTCAAACGCTTATCGTCAATACGCAAGCAAGAACTGAGACATCCTGAACCCTTAGTTAGCTCTACACCGCAAATTCCTTGGGCAGCAGCGATGGCCGCTTCGAACCAGCTGCTGAAGGCGCGAGTCCAGCTACCCTCAACCCTCAACCTTAAAACCTTCATGATGTTGATCTTGACGACAGTAGGACTTGGGCTTTTAGCTCAGCCGAAGCGAGGACAATCAGCCTTCTCGCCACGGTCTCTCCTGCGTGGGGTCAAACTCCTGACACCACCTGCTGTTGGGGCTGCCAGAGTAGTGAACTCCCCTCATGGAATCACATAGCTTGGACCTGTCCCGACCGGCCCTCTCAGGTTCGGAAGCCTGAATCTCCCTTTCTTGCTAGACTCGGATGGAGCAGCAAACCTCGCGACCCCAGCACCACTGAGGTCCGCACTTGGCTCACTCACGTTGTGTCTCGACTTTGGTCGATTAGGCATGGCACTGAAAGGGGCTGATAAGGTTCACGCCGCTCTGCGGCTTTGTTTCACTCAGGGTTCATGCTGGCGGACTAACCGGGCCGGTGAACTCTGTGCTTTGCGCACTTGACCTGATCAACCCAAGGCCTGCTGATGATGGCTGGCAACAGCACTAAGGAACACAATGGGTCCTTCAACTACACTTCTTCGGCCTGCTGTTTGCAGCGGGCCCTTTTGCTGCGGCGCCGACTTCGTCGTGTGCAGCTACAAAGAGATGATGACTCGCCGGGCTGTGGTTCTCACTGCACCCTCTGGGAATTCCTCTGTTTTGGTGGAAGGTCCCCTGGGTTTCCTTTGGGATGAAACTTGGTGGACTTGCCTCCTTGGGCAGATTTCTGGCCCCCAATCCGGATTCGTGATATACCTGGCCGCCATTGGCGGCTTGGTGGTTTGGTCGGACGTCTTGCTACTGCTTTGGGCACAAGCCCAACATAAGCGGCAGGCCTTTGACGTCAAGAGACAGCAACAAGGTTTCGTGACTTGCCTTACAGCGGTCAGCTGCCTGGTTGTTTGGACTGATATCCAGTACCTGCTTTGGGCTCGGGCCCTGTACAAGAAGCAACTCCCGAAGATGAAAAAACGGCAACGCAACGCTGTCGGCACACAGCAAAGGACCGGCAATGCTGGCGTAAAGCCGGCTGGTCGATCCTTTGGTCCTTGTCGGTTTGTGGCTGGTAGGCGGCTGAAACCCCGCCGTCGCCTCGGAATGCGTCGTGTCTGGCAGGCACAAGCTGATCAGGTTCTTCTGAGAAAGAGAAGAAGCTATGTGCGGACTGACTCTTCAGTCGGGCCTTTGCCCTTCGGTTTCTGCCCTTTGACCCAAATTGAGCAGATGCCCTTTTGTAAAGACTCTGCTCTGTGCCTTGAGACTGACGGCCTTTCTGTGGGCCTGGAGACTAAGGCCCTGCGACCATTTGGATTGCGACCCCCTTTGCGGGCCCTACTTGGTTGTGCCCTTGGGCTTGCTTGCTTCTGGGAAGCTCTCCCTACCCCCCCCGATTTACTCGGGATTGGAACCCTCTCCCCTTCGTGGAGTTTGAATGGGCCCCGGTTTGGTCCGGACCGCTTTGTTGTCCGCCTGGAGACCTTTTTCCCCGATTTCCTTGGAAATCTGACCCCCCCTTGGCGACCCGAAAACTGGGACCCGTCGATAGGATGCCGTATTGGAGAGGCAAGTAACCCTGGACCTGCTGGTGCAGCCAGGACTTCCCGACAACGTCAGGAAAGGTTTCTTTTGGAAGGACTGCAGCAGCTGCTGCTTAACCTGCCTTCCGACGATAATTGCCCTGCGCCAAGTCGTAGCACCAGTCAACAACGTGGTAGAAGCCCTGGGGCAAGTCAGCCTCATCCTGACTACCCTAGTCCCCCTTTCAACCCACGCACTAGAAGCCGCAGCCCCAGAACTCCGCGATTGGCAAACTGTTGAACGCAAGGGCAGGAAAGGCAAAGGTTTTGGAAAAAACCCTTGGCCGGTCTGTTGGCACAGCTCAAGGCCTTAGTTCTTGAGTGTGAGACTAGAGGCTCAGCCGACCTGGTTGGTCGTCTCCGAGCTTTGGTCACACCGGTCCCTCGAGCACAGCAACCCTCAAGCCTCGGCCCTCAGCCCCTCCGACACCTCGGACTCACGGAGCTGCGCCGCTTGGAGCCCCTTGGAGAATTTCCGCTGAATGGTGGCCTGGAAAACAGGTTGCCAAAGCCAAACTGGCTGACAGCCTTGACCTCGGAGAAGCCCCCCAAGGTAACTTGGCCTTCGCCTCCCTCCAGGAATGCTCCGCCTTTCAGGAACTTGCTAAGGTCCATGAGCTTGATACCGCCTTGGCTTTGGTTTGCACCGATCATACTGACAGATCGTCAAATCCTGCGGAAGGCTCTGGGTTCAACCTTAAGTGGCTGTACATGGCCAATGGTAAATGGAAGCAAGTTTGGGCTGCGCCCCTTAAGTCTTCCTGGCCCGCCTGGATTGTTCCAAGCACGTCCCTTCCGAAGAGGATGTTGTTTCCCTTAGAGTCACCTGCCCGAAGTCTTTCTTGACTCCTGAACAGTGGGTGCTGGCTCTGAAGAAACCCCACAAACTGCTCGAGTCCGTCCTTCCCCCGGATTCCTGGGTTCGCAGTTACGGATGGCATGCGGTCCAGGCCAAGGAGGAGTTGGTTGTGGGATTCCTTAAAATCAACAAAAAAGGTCAGCAGGACTTGACCCTTTCCTCTGGTACCTCGGGACTTTTCTTTTGTCCTATGCGCCCTCGCAACGAACAAAACCGTTCTGAGCCTGTGCATTGGCTCCCGCGTGGAGACGCCCCAGCGATGTCGTACTTACAGGCTGCTATGGCCCAGGCTAAGGCCGCCAAGGTGCACCTTGCCTTTAGACGCGGTGGCAAGGCCTGCCTCGGTTTAGTAGGTGTCGCCCCACCCACCTCTCATGATAATAGCCCCCACTCGAGGAAACGCTGGGTTGCCCGTGGCATCCCGAAATCCTGGACCCCTGCCCAATTTTCTGGCGTGCTTGAAAACCAAGGATGGAGAGTCGTTGGCGACATCCAACCCCCTTCTCGGTCTGGAGGTGTTTGGGTTTTCAGCGGTGCTGCGCCTGCAAATTGCAGTTCGGATTGCTGCATCCTTGCTTTAAACAAAGACAGCCAAGTCTTCATTGAACCTTGGAGGCGAACGCCTAGGAAAGAAACTTCCATGCCCCTCAAAGGATCTGGGGCGTGGGCTAAACTCCCCGTGACCCCGGCTTCGACGGTTTCCCCGAAAACCCCCCCCAGGATCCCGATGGCGCCTGCTGGGACCCAGCTGGACCCGCCCGCTCCCGATTCCATGGAGGTCGATGATGATGATCTCAAAGTTGAGGTACCCCCTGAACCCAAGGTCCAGCCTGAAGGAGCCGACGCCAAAAAGCGGTCGGCCTCCACTAAGGACTCTGGAACCGCCAAGGCCCCTCGTAAGGACCCCAGCTGCCCTAACCCCTGCTCCCTCGGTGTTCAGTTTTGGGACCTTGGAGGCCGAGGCGATTGCGGGTTTAGATGCCTGTCAGCCCTCAGTGCACTTCGGCATAAGGCCGATCAAGTGCAGATCACCCAAAAGCTCGATAAACTTTCCCTTTCCCTTCGCACTAAATGCGTTGCCTGGTTACGTGACAACCACGGTTGGCACGCCTCCTGGACCCCTGATCCTGAGGCCACCGATACCACTGAAGGTGGACAGCCAGCCACCACTAAGCAGGATTACTTGACGACTGCTGCTGTGGCTGGACCATTTCCTTGGTTTGGGGAGACTCGTCATTCTAGCCTGTTTCATTTGACGGGGAACCTGCTCAGCCAGGTGCCACCTAAGCGCAAGGTCGCGGTACATTCGGATCATACCCGGGCACCAATGCTTGACTTCATCCCCCGACCAGCCATCGGTGCCAGCCGCTCCTTTCTGCTTACGGAAGACCTTAGTGAGCGCATCAAGTGTGGGGGGCTCCCACAAAGTCGCAGGGCCTTGGGGCAGGTGCTGTCGCAGAGTGTTAGATACCTGCGTATAAGTGGGATTGGCAAGGCGGCGCTGGTTCCAAAACTGGTCCCAGTATTGGAAAATAGCAGCTGCCCCTTCAGCGAGGGAGGTAGTGACCGTGCCATCGAGGCGCCGGAGGGTGTAAGCCACCGGGTTCTGTTTGGACTTCAACCAAGCTCCCAGTGCCCTGGGTTCAGTCACCATACGGTGCCTCCAAGTTGACACACGAGCTCTTTGTTGGCGATCTGCCTCATGAGCCACTTCGGCTCTAAGGCGCGCTGCCAGGTCCCGGGCTCCTTGTGCAGTAGCCTGAGCAAGTCCTAGCTTGGCGTGTAGCGTGGGTATGGCTGGGTCATCTGGCTTGGTCGCCAACAGTCGAACGAGTTCGGCCGCTCTGGCCAGTTTCTTTCTTTGCTTCCTAAGGCCAAAGCCGTCCTTAGTGAGGTCAGGTCCTCGGTGTGACCAATACAGCCAGGCATGCTGAGCGGTGGCTCCTTTCACCAAGTGGCTCGATCGGAGCCTAGTCCGGATTTCATTTTGGGACTGTTCATGGTTGGGGTCACAAGCCAGTTCCCTCAGAGCGGCCCAAAAGGTGGAGTTAAGCATCCTTTGGAAGGTGTCCCACTCATGCTGAGGGTCAACCTCAGAGGGAAGGTTCTCAAACTCGCAAGTAACATCGGGGGGGTTGTCATCCCAACATTTTTGCAAGAGTCCTTGCCATTCCGCCGGGGCAACTCCAGCAGGGCATGAGAAGTTGGGGGTCCGGGTGAGGATGCCTTTACAGGCTTCCGTAGCTTGATGGGAGATCGTCACCATTAAAGGGACATGATCAGAGAGGAATTCATAGAGCACCGAGACCTCAGTACTCTCTCTAGGCCTATTAGTAAGGAAAAAGTCGATTTCCCTACGCCCTTGCCACCGAGTAGGTCGCCCAGCCGTGAGGGAAACTCCTCCAAAATGCTGAAGGTGCTTAGCAACCTGGCTATTCTTGGGCTCCTCGTTAAAATCGCCGGCCAGGATCCAGCGCTGGTCAAGCGTGATCCTAGCAGCCTGAAGCCAATCGGTCAAAAGTTGATTTAACAAGGCTTCATGGGATTGGTCACCGCAGGGAGGGGCATAGCAGGAACCCACATGAACCCCCCCGGCAGCAACAACCAAAAGTTGGGACGGCCCCGCACTTTTTTGGAAGACAAGTTTCTGCCTCAGTCTTTTTGAAACCAGGACAGCGACGCCGCCCGTGGAAATTGGTTGACCCCAGCGCCCCACACTGGCGGGGCCCGCTTGGTAGTAGGCCAGGAACCCGGCCTTACCGGCCGCCTTGGCATAAGCTTGCCATTCGCCAGCCTTCATACAAACTTCTTGAAGCAAGAAAATCCTTGGGGGGTCAGTAGCCGCGGCGGGCTGCCAATCACTCAGGACCGTCCAGGCCCCTTTAGCCCCTCCCACATTCAACGACCTGAGCTCGAAGGTGCCAGGTCTCGGTCCTGGGTGCTTGGCTTCGCCAACACGGACTCCTCGCATGCCACCACACCTGACGGAAGCGGTTTCCTGGCGCGAAGGGGCCTTGGCTTTGCTAGGACGGGGTTTGGGTCCGTTGGTTCGTCGGACTTTGGCAAGGTGAGCTCCAAAGTCAAAGGTGGCCTTCCGTTTTTGCCGAGAGGCAGCTTCTTCCCGGGTCAGGGCCTGTTTACCTCTTTTCCGGAAGAGGGGCTTGGCGCCGTCCGTCGCTCGTTTTCTGGCCCATCCGAGTGACCGTTCAGTGTGCCTAAGCTTGGCAAAACACTCTTCATCAACCTGCTCAAGAGTCCTGCCGACGGCTTGAACAAGGTTAGCCGCGTGGATGGGCTCAACAGCCTTAAGTCGAATCCACCAGGTTCGCCTTTGCCGCTGAACATGGTGAGACCTAGCCAGATCCGGAGATCGCTCAGTGCAGGTTTTGGCGCTCTGCGGGTTGGTTTTGCCAAGGAGGGAAAGGCAGGTTTTACAGTAGTGAAGGTTACCACGGTGACCAGCATTGTTCCGCTCGGTCGGGGTGACCAAAACAAGATCGTGAGTGGGGAACCTAGCAGCCCTGCTAGCCTGGTGCTTGGCACTCTGCAGTTTAGAGACGCCGTCCTTCTCCTTGGGTCTCCCAGTGGCGTTCTTGAACCACAAGGTCTGGGGGGTCTCCCCCGGGTGCATCTGGGCGCAATGGGCGCGCACCGCGCGCCTATAGTCCTGTTGCGCCAACAACGGCAGACCTGCCGCACATAAGGGGCAGTTCCAGTGCCGCTGGTCTTGCGGCAATGCTTCAGAGGCCGTAACAGCAACAGGTCGGGCAATCATGATACGTCGGGTGTCAAGACCGGGATGTCTGGTTTTCCAGTGGTAGAATTTACTACCAAGGGGCACCTTCATGAGGCACTCAGGGCACTGCCAATCAGTCTTGTTGCGGGGCTGAAGGGCGGGCTTGGGTCCCCGTTTTTGGGGCCCAACGGGGCTCAGAGCATACCCAAGGGGGGCCTGCTTGAAAGGAAGTCTTCTCCTCTCAGGCTTAAGTCCAGGAAGAAGGGGCATTTCCGCCTGCGTGGCGCATTCCTGCACTTCGATGAAGCCCTTGTGGAGGGGGGCCACGAGACCGATTTCGCTAGGGGTGACCTCAGCCAGAGTTCGGAAAGGACGATTTTTCTCGTCGCCCAAGGGAGAGGCCTGGACCGGGGGTCGCAGCCAAACCGAGGTTTCACTAGCAGGGAGGGGACCCAACAAATCCGAAGTGCCGCCCGGCGACCTCGGGGGGGCCAACCACCCAGACACATCCGAATCAGCTCCTCCCAGAAAATGGGTCACAACATTATCCTCCGTGGGCCTGAGTTCAAGCCACTCAGGAGGGATGGTGGCCTCTTTCTTCAAGGTGGTGAAGTGTCCGTCCTTGAGGAAAAGGATCATGGTCTGTCCTTTACGGGAACAGGGAAGGGACATGCGTTCGAGGAAACGCCATTGACCGCCTGAAAACTTCCAAACGATGACATCCCGCTTGAAGGACTCGGACCTTGCCCAAACCCGACCTCTCACGATCCTGAACATCCACTGGCGAATTTGGGGATCGGCTTGGGTGGGAACCCCGCAGGTCCAAAATTGGATTTCCAATAATATCCCTGAGTCTGTCACTGCCCGTAAAGGCTTCTCTGTTCAGGGTGTTGCTGCTGATGTCACGGAGCAAATTGCTACCCATGGATTTGTGATGTCCCTTGACTGGTCTAAGTGTTTTGACACCATGGCCGTTGGACCCTGTGCGGATCTTATGATCCATGCAGGACTCCATGCACCCCTTGCCCAAGTCTGCCGCCAGGTTTGGACGGAACAGCAACGATGGGTTAGCTGGAATGGTACCACGCATGATGTGCCTTTGACCACTACCATCGGAATCCCTCAAGGAGATCCCTGGGGCCCTTTCCTGTGCATGATGTGGGGGGCCCAAGGCACTAGGGCGGTCGAACATAATGTTCCCCCTGGCACCCCTGAAGCCCGTACCACTGTGTTTATGGACGATCGAACCATTGTGGCTAGCCAGCCCCAAGCCATGATCGCTCGCAAAACCGCTTGGGCTGATTGGTCTGACCAAGTCGGGCTTGTGGAAAACCAAGGCAAAACGGCGGTTGTTGCTGCGGGCGCTGCGAAACGCCGACTCCTTTGGCGTACGTCGCTGGAACCGTATGTCCAAGACGATATAAAACAGCTTGGAGCTTGTACTGCCACCAGGCAACGCACCGTAACTGGTGAAGAAACCCAGCGGATCGATAGTGGCTGTGCCACACTGAGGCTGCTGGCAAGCGTTGGACTCCCCTTCCCGAACTTCCATCGGGCAGTTGCATGTTATGCCATGCCGAGGAGCGCGTTTGGCTGGCTCAGTCGTCAGCCACTTGACCATGATGCCTGGAAACTCTGGTCCCTGGTCAGAAAAGGAGATGGGAGATGCTACTTGGCCAATCGCTTTATAAGAGCCATTGTTCTTGGAGGCTGCGCCCACCTTAGTATCTTAGCTGTCAAGTTCCTGCTGGGAGCTGTCTTGGCCGCGGATAGTCGAACGCCCCGGCGATGGCGGGGGGGGGCAGGGCACCCTGTCACTACTCTCAAAAAAGCTCTTAGACACCAAGGTTGGAACCTTGACAGACCCTGGCGCTGGACCCATTCGACTGGGCCCGCCCTTGACTTGACCGACCCCCGGAACAACCGCGACCTCCTCTTTCACCTGTTGCGTAAGGGATGGCGGGGATACCTTTGGCAAAAATTCTGCGAGTCTGGCCGCCATGAGGCGGATGACTTCGCTGGAACCACCTGGCAAGATTTTCATAATGTTGATCTTGACGACAGTAGGACTTGGGCTTTTAGATCAGCCGAAGCGAGGACAATCAGCCTTCTCGCCACGGTCTCTCCTGCGTGGGGTCAAACTCCTGACACCACCTGCTGTTGGGGCTGCCAGAGTAGTGAGCTCCCCTCATGGAATCACATAGCTTGGACCTGTCCCGACCGGCCCTCTCAGGTTCGGAAGCCTGAATCTCCGTTTCTTGCTAGACTCGGATGGAGCAGCAAACCTCGCGACCCCAGCACCACTGAGGTCCGCACTTGGCTCACTCAGGTTGTGTCTCGACTTTGGTCGATTAGGCATGGCACTGAAGGGGGCTGATTAAGTTCACGCCGCTCTGCGGCTTTGCTTTGTTTCACTCAGGGTTCATGCTGGCGGACTAACCGGGCCGGTGAACTCTGTGCACACCGCTTCGGCCTGCTGTTTGCAGCGGGCCTTTTTGCTGCGGCGCCGACTTCGTCGTGTGCAGCTACAAAGAGATGATGATGATGATGAACCTTATAGCCTATTTCCCCTTTTGGCGGTGTTAAACATCACCTTTTGGGCCATCGCGGAAGTTTGCGGAAGATTTGCGGAAGGGCGGGGCGGAAGACCGTTTTTTGGAACAAGGAATATGGGGTAAACTCTCATGTATAGATATATATATATATAGGTATGTTATGTTATGTTATGCTATTTTTTCTGTGCTATGTTATGTTATGTTATGTTATGTTATTATGCGTGTAGTGTTATGTATGTTTTGTAATGTAATGTAATGTGTATGTTATGTATGTATGTATGTAATGTATGTATGTATGTATGTATGTATGTATGTGTGTATGAGTGTGTGTATGTGTGTGTGTATGTGTGTGTATGTATGTGTGTACGTATGTATGTATGTATGTGTGTTGCGTTGTGTTGTGTTGTGTTGTGTTGTGTTGTGTTATGTTGTGTTGCGTATGTATGAATGAATGTCTGTATGTAATGTATGTTATGGTA